AGGGTTAGGGATTGTGTCCTAGAAGGTTGGCCTTCCCCTTTGTGTTCACTTGATGAAAGTGATAGATGTTCTCTGAATGGGGAATTATCTTTGAAGGAAGTTGAGGGAGTTCTGAATCAAGTTGGTGGCTACATAGCTCCCATCAATGATGGTATTTCCTAATCCTTTATTGAAGCATATTGGGGTATCATTAAAGGAGATTTCTGGAATGTCATTAATCAATTTTTTTATTCTAGAAAAATAAATGTTGAGTGGAAAGATCATTTAATTGTGCTTATCCCAAAGTGAGTAATCCAATGGTTCCTTCCAACTATAGACCTATTAGTCTTTGTAAGACTGTGTATAAGGTGGTGGCCAAAATTCTTTTGAATAAATTAAAAGTCATTATCCCAAAACTCATTTCTGAAGAGCAAGTAGCTTTTTTGAATGAATGTTCTCTATCATAGCCTGTGCTAGTAACACAAGAAACATTTCTTAAATTTAGATTTTCTAAATCTTCTAAAGGTTTAGTTTCCTTCAAAATTGATATGGAACAGACATAGAATTCTATGGGTTGGGAAACATTGAGGAAATATTTGAAAATTTTTGGGTTTCCATTTAGGTTCTCCATATTTATTATGGAATGGGTTGAAGAACCCAGGATTTAATTGTTGATTAATGGTAGTTTTTTCCAATTGTATCAATACAAGGAGTCGATTTCAACAAGGTTGTCCTTTATTACATTTTTTATTTATTTTATGATCACAACTATTATCCAATGCTCTTATTCAGAATGGTGATTCAATTTATGTTTGAATTCGACCTAATGGTCTGTGCATCTCTCATCTGCTATATGTAGATGATATTATTATTTTTTTTGGAAGTTAATAATAAGGTTGTGAAAGTGATTAAGGGTATTTTGCTGGATTTCTGTGGTTGGTCAGGACAAAGGATTAACTTCAATAAATCTAGAATTCTTTTTGGTAAACATGTTGAGAGAATTAAAAAAAATCCATTGCCCAAATTATGGGGTTTAAAATGGTTAAGGAGTTCAATTATCTTGGTGTCCAAATTTCTTTGAGGGGGCTTGTGGGTGCTAATTTTTAGTTTATTATTTATAAATCTATGAGGAAGTTGAATGCTTGGGGAAGCAAATTCTATTCTTAGCTGGGAAGTTTACTATTCTTAAATATGTACTACTCTCTTTTCCAATTTTTCATTGTAAGCACTCTTTTGTTCCTAAAGGTGTTCTTGATGAATTTGACAAGATTTGTAAAAGCTTTATATAGGATAAGCAGGATGGTAGATTTAGTTTTCATTATGTCGACGGGAATGTTTTGTGTAAGCCGATTAGGTGGGGAGGCCGTGGGCTTCAGTCAAGTGGAAGCAAATTTGGTCCTTGGAGATCTAAGATAGCTTAGAAATTTATACAAGAGAAAGATTACTTATTTTATAAAACTCTTGAAGAGAAATATGGGTCTCAGATATGTGATGTTGGATCAAAGAAGGGAGGTTTTGCTTAATGAAAAATCATTTTTGTTGGTTCAAAATTTTTGAATCATGCTGTATGATGGAAGATTGCAATAAGAGATTTTATCGATGTTTACAGTGATGTTTGGGTGTTGGAAAATTGTATTAATAAGTGGCCAACTTTTGTTGTGACTCAAAGAAGCAATGATATTACAATAGATAAGTTTATTGTTGATGGAAGTTGGAGTTAGGCTAAACTTCAGAAATTCTTTGGAAAGGAACTGGTCCTTTTGATAAGTCAAATTCAAATACATTCGGAGTTGTGTGGAGAATAGCTGGAACTAATTCAATAAAATTCAAGAAAACATAATACTACTTTAGCTTTTGAAGCTTCGGTGCAAGAACATTCTGATTGTCTCTACTGGAAATGGATCAAGAAGGCAAAGCTGAACCCAAGGATGGAGGTATTCTATGATGGAAGTTACACAATGCTATTCCAACTTTTCATTTAAGATTTAATTTTTGTTCTAATCACCACAGATGATCTAGATCATCCTGGACGATCAATACCAATCATGCCTAAATTGATCATGTGATTAGGGGACTAATTATGGCTGAATTTTTCAATAAGATTGTCTTGGACGATCTGTATATTGTACTGGATGATATTTGCTGATATATTTGATTTTCCTATATCATCCAAGATGAAATATCATAATTTTTCTTCTAATTATCCAAGACGATCTACAATATCGTCATGGACGATTTGTACAAATTTAAACTAATCTTCTAGGACTACCCTGATATCATTCAGGATTATTAGGTCAAATTTTACACATCACACTAGATGATATTGCCATCGTCCAGGAAAATTTTTTGCGTCGGAATTGTGTTTTTTATGATTTTCTGAAGCCCTCTTTTAAGCACATCATATGGGATGATCCTACGATCGTCATGGATAATTTCTTCCTCCAAGATTAATTTTTAGGGTTTTTTAAAGTCCTTTATTTAAGCTTTGTCAAGACACGTGGTAATTGTCTTTGGCAGCTATTAAAACTTCATTCTTTTGGAGAAAACTTGAAGAGAGAATTTGAAAGGGAGAGTAAAAAGGGTGGAGTTTGAGAGAGGGAGAAGATCCTTGGAGGGGGTTTCAAGGGAGTTTGGAGGGGTTTCATATAGTTGCTCCGGTAAGCCTACACCTTAGTACCATCAGATTCAAGGTTTGTCTCGAGGGAAGTTTTGAGAAGAAGAATATCTCTTTAGTATCAAAGAACCCTGCTACTCCGCCGTACTGGGGAAGGTGGAAGTGATTTTGTAAAGGTTTCTCTGCATAGTTATGTGGGCTAAAGGAGAGTCACTAAAGATTTAGTGCAATACTTGGATGGTGCCTCTTAGGAGTGGACGTAGGTCAGGTTGGACCGAACCACTATAAATATGGTGTATTCTTTCTTATTATTTTTCGCACTTTATTTTTATTATGATTAACTGTTTGGGTGAAATCTCTAATTAATCTTTTTATTATTGATTTAATTTATTTATGCTATAAGATTTAATTTTTTTTTCTTTTAGTTAAAGATTCTTTTCAATATCCAATTCATCCCCCCTCTTGGTTAGCCTCGGGATTAGTTCATAAGGGCATAACATCCCTAATAAACTATCAGTTATATGTCAGAGCCCTGCTCGATAACGTTAACATATATGAAAGAGGACGAAAGAATCCACCAAGGATGTATGACCTAGCCGAGGTTGTATGTCAGAGCATTGCTCGATGACGTTAACCTATGTGAATGAGGTCAAGAGAACCCACCAAAGATGTATGATCTATATGAGATTGAATGTTAGAGCCCTGTTCGATGATGTTAACTTATATAGAAGGTGTCGAGAGAATCCACCAAGGATGTATGACCTATTCAAGGTTGTATGTCAGATCCGTGCTCGATGATATTAACCTGTATGGAAGAGGTTGGATCGAATCACCTTGTGATTGATTTTTCCTTGATTGGGAGGTGGTAAATGCTGCATGCATCCCGAATAAAAGGTGAAAATTTATTTATTTTTTGACCATAATTGCCTTTTTGAGTTTGAGATTAAGACTTTGCCGAAGGACTAAAAGTCTAGCAAGAGATTGTATAAAGCATATAATTGATTGGAAGCATCCTTGCATTTGCTAGAATTATTCTGAAATATCATTTTGATGTTGAAAGCATTAGATGATCTTTTTGACCAAAGTTGAAGTCAAAGTTTCCCCCAGTTCGCATCTGATTCTTATGAAATTGATGCAGCAATTGTTAATATTAGGATGTTGATAAGAGCAATCTTTTAAGATTGGAGCAATAGTTACCCCCTCCCCCCCCAGCCAGGTACAAATTTCCCATAGACGGCGCAACTGTCGTGTGCTAGAATATACGTGGCGATAGAGTTAAAAAATTTTTGTTCAACATTTTACGGATATCCAACACACAAATAGAACAAAAATGGAACACCAGGATTTTTACATGGAAAACTTTGGAAAGGGAACAACCATGGGGCCATGCCCAGTTGAAAGGATTCCACTAGTGTTTGATTAAGTTATAAGTGGCTGACTCGTCCCTGAAACTGAGGACGATCAGATTACAACTCTCGGGTTGAAATTCAATTACAAGCAGATATCAGAATTCCAGCGACGTTGGGTGGTAGGGCATAACTCTGGCGTTAGTTGGCAATCGGGCAGAACTCCAGCATCGGTCGGCTACCGGGTGAAAGTCCAATGACAGTCGACGAGGAGTCTCTTACTTATCTTCTTCCTTATCTTCTCTTCTCACTTCTTTTCTCTTGTGGCTTAGGGTCATATCTCAAGAGAAATGATGGTTTATTTATAGTTTATGAGAGTGGCATGACAAAAAAATAGAAGGTAGATCGGGGGTAAATTTGGAGTGATTTGAATGGACGGTCGATGTTGAATCCCTTGATTGTGGACAATTTATTAGGAATTTGAAGGCTCTAATGATATCAGAATTCACTCATCTTGGATATGTTGGATTTGTCTTGTCGAGCCGCCGATTTGACTATAAGCACGCCACATTTGAAAACTGTTTGGTAATCCATTATGGATTGAACCTTCCAAATGTGCTTCGGGTTTTTAATTTAGACTGATTTGGGTTCAGATTGAGTCCAAGTTGGTGTAGATGGGTTCGTATTTCCGAGGCGTTTAGTTTGACTGTAAGTTTGCGTAAATCGGAGTTCAAATTGTCTCCATTTTAATTTTTGAAGTTTCCAACTTATTTTTTGTCTCAAGATTCGTGCTCGATCAAGAGAATTTTTTGATGATATATCACTTGTAATTCATTTTCTTTAATATACCGAGGTGCCCCAAATTTTTCCAAAAAATACAAAGAATGCACCAAAAAAAAGGTAAGAGAGAAACTTTTGTGCCTTGAGGTTTATTATCCCAGTAACTCTAAAATCCCTAAATCCGGCCATCATCGCCTGTAAAATATAATTATACCAAACCGTGCCTTCAGCTTTATTATTATTACTATTTTTTATAAAGCTGAATTTTTTATAAATCCTTCAGCTTTATTCCATTCGACCGTCTTGCTCAAACGAGGGAACCAAGAAACTTGGGGGCGATGGCGGCAGTGGCAACGGCTAATGGCTTACCTGTACTTTCGTCGCAAGCTTATCTCGAGGGGAAAACTGTTTGGGAGACGAGGACGTTGGTCGCTGACCTCTGCAGGCAGTTCTACACACTCGGCTGGGTCTCTGGCACTGGCGGCAGCATTACCATCAAGGTACACGACGATTCCATTCCGAAGTCCGACCAGCTCATCGTCATGTCTCCCTCCGGTGAACCCCTCCTCTCTCGCTCTCTTTCTGTATCTCTTTCTCTCTCTCCCTGCCCCCCTCCTCTGTCTCTTCTGGCTACAATATCTAAAGCTTTTGCTGTATCATTAGGAGTGCAGAAGGAAAGGATGATCCCCGAGGACATGTATGTGCTTTCCAGTGGTGGCGATATGCTGTCCACCCCTTGTGCGAAACCCTACCCTCATAAGTCCCCCAAATGTTCTGACTGCGCTTCTCTCTTCATGAAGGTAATTATTTTCATTCTTTCATTCACATAACTATTTTTTTACTGCTGTTCAGTTGGATAATCTTTTTCTGAGATTGCTTGGCTGAGGCTTAGGATAAGATAAACAAGGAGATAATTGGATTAAGCTTTAATAAGATTTTAGAGGTTTGATTGGTTACCAAGATATGCTGGTATAAGTTGGCATAAGTTGACACTAGCCTTAGGATTAGCCACATCAAGTTCAATTGCAGGCCAAATCAAGTTCAGGATAAGGTTCAGGACAAGACCATGGAGCATCTAGTTACACACAAAGATGACATGGTAAAGAATAAAAATAAGTCCAAGGGGCTTAATTACAAGTTGCCGTCCAATTCAGGATGGAGGGCTCAAGTAAAAGAGACGAAATAATGTTGTTTGCAACAATGAAGGAGATCAATATACTTTTATTCCTAAAATCTTCTTACGCTATATGGCTGATTAAAGTATGATCCAAAATGGTTTTTAGATAAGACTAGCTATTTTCATGGATTTGTCGATTTGATAGAGTTTTGGTTAGTAGAGTGGTTATTATATAAGATAAACCACTTCATAATTTATATTTTGTTGGGGAGGAAGAAGTAAATCATGCAACAAAATAAATAAGAAAAAAAATTTGTAGGGGAAATAAAGAATACCAGAATTTAATGTGAAAAAATTTGAAACTAGCAAAAAATCACGAAGCCACACCACTTCAAGAAATTCACTATCAAAATTAGGAGAAATTTTATGTGTCTCTCTTCTCTCTCACTCTCTCCTTGCTTATCTTCACCGTTGCATCATTCTTACATAACAGACAAACAAAGGGATACACCATAACCACCAAGGGATGCAACTCTTAAGGAAAAATGAGAAATAAAACTACTGGCCCGTTTCGTAGAGCAACAACACCAAGTTTGATCCCCACAATGCTCAATACTCTTGTTTATAGTTTTCCTGACAGTGCCATCGTGCCAATGTCTGGAGAGCTGCAATGCTCCTTGGAGGCGCCACCGCGCCAAGTCTTGAGTGCCGCAACGTGTCTCCACTCTAGTTTTCTCCAATAAAACTATGCAGAGCGGGGGCACTAGGGTACACATCGTCGAGGTGCTCGGGTACATAGTGCTTGGACGTTGTACACACGTGAACCTAAGTTGGGGGAAGACCCTCTGTAATCCTCAGCGAGCTCAACAAATTGAATTGAGATCCAAGGCAGCATTACAATCAGATTGATCAACACAATCAGATTTAATACAGAACTAACACTTATAATTGTTTTTATTGACCACTTTATTGTCTCTCTATAGCCATAAATAGGGGTCTTATGCAATCAATTTTTATTTATTCAATGAATCAGTTATTCAATTGGAACTTAAGCTTCATTTTGGACGACTTTCTATTAAAAATTTTGTACTAAAAAGCTTCTTGAAAAAACAGTAAAAAGCCGTTCCAAACGAAGCCTTAGCCTCTCTCATGCTCTTCCTTACTCTCTATAATCAACCATATGATAGGCCTTAAGATGCTTTTTAACTATTGGGCCTTCCCATCTTCTAAACCCGTATTCCTTTCTATCTCTCTTTCTCTTTCTCTCTCTCTAAAAGCTCAATTTTTCTTTCTTTAAAACATCCTACCCAAGTATTAAATGGAAAGAGTTTAATGCAAGTCCAAGAAGAGGGGACAAATGTTAAGGTGGTAATCAAACGAAAAGTTGAAGATCAAACCAATGAAGAAAATAACATCAAGAAAGAGGTGTCCAACAAAGACAAAAGAAGAAGGCTCTTCCAAATTGGGATAACTCTTTATTAGTCTTGTAAAATATTATCATATCACAAATATTTTTCTCTGGTTTCTATTCACATTACTTTAATCTTTTGTTGTTGCCAATTTTAATAATTGTAATTCAATTAAAAAAACTGTAAAGATTTGGGTTTCCATTATAAGAGGGCCATTAGTTTCTTAAAAGGCTCCTCTTTTTATTTTCCATCTTTGTATTGTAGAGTTAGACATTCCTTCTAAAGTCTTAATAATTCATGCGATTTTCCAAGAATTAGGTGATCAGAAGATCAGAAATTTGATTATTTGAATATAACACACCTCATTTACATCTGGATTTGAGATAAATAGTTGTTACACTCATTCTTTGAAATTAGAGAATGTATATTGTATATGGACACATTTCTTTTAAAGAGAGAGCAAGATCCAAGATGATTAAGTCACATAAACACTTAGGACACTAAGTAAGAGTTATCTGTTATTGCCACCACTCAAATTTTCATAATAGTTTGTTCGTACAAATTGTGTGGCAACAAAATTCACTACTAAAAGACAAGCATCTTATCAGCTTTATATTATGCTAGCCATGCCTTATTGGTCTGTTACTTTGGGCCAATTTCAACTTTTGGATGGCTACTTAAAGATGCAACTAAGTTAACTCTAATATTTGGGGTGACTGCCACAACATGGGCTAGAGACATTAGATGAACCATCTATACTATATGGATTGTCTACACCACCAATAGAGCTGGATTCAATAGCATCATAATTGATTATTTCACCAAAAGTTCAATAAATTTTTTTCTAATGTTTATTATTAGGAGCAAATGAGGAGATTTATGATCGAGGACATCTTTGAATGATTTTGAGCTTGGTTAATTAGCCATGTAAGCATAAAAAGTGGGCTAAAGGACTGTGTCAACAGTGAACTAGTCTTAGGATTAGCCACATTGAGCCCAATTGCAGGCCAAATCAAGTTTAAGACAAGCCCATGAGGTACAAATGGATGCATGAAAATTACATGGAGGAGAAAAAAGGAATTCATGAGATTAAATTGCTAATTTACCACTCCAATTCTGAATGGAAATGGCTAAGCATGGAGAACAAATTTGAATTATCCAAAAATGACCTCGTAGCAATTTGAAAGAGAGACAAGGATGGTTGAACCAACTAAGGAGATCACGCTGCTTTTTTTACTTGATCTATATTGCAGGCCAAAGCATGATCCAAGATGAGTAGGTTAAATCAAAAGCTATTTTTATGCATTTAGGTGTTTGATTGGGTTTTGGTTAATATAAGTTATTGTTATATAGTGTAAACAACTTATTTTATATGTTATTTTGTAAATTTTTATTATATTTTCTAGGTTATTTTTATTAACTCCCTATGGTTATAAATATGGTTCCTTTGTTATTAATTTTTCCTCATTCGGGTATTTATTCATTTATTGAATCAATTATTCAATTGCATAGCAAGTTAGTCTCTCTATCCCTTTCTTTATCTGATAACATAATTGGTAGTATTTTGCAATTTTAGTCAATCAGCTTGTCCTCTCTTATGAACCTAATTTTTCAACAATTATCTTTCCCCTTAAAACTACCATCTTTCCTTATAAATCAAATCATCTTAGATGATCCCTTACTTGAAGAATGAGTAAGCTCCAAGAGGACCCATCTAACACCAATGAGGCAATCAAATGTAATAGAGAATGTGAAAGCAAAGAAGTAAGAAACATTAAACAAGAGGATTTCAAGCAAGATAAAGGAATAAGAATCCATTTGCAAGAATGCTTTTCCAAATTTGGGTAACATCATTGCAATCTTTTGAAATATAATCATCCTATCCATTTATCATTTCTTAATTTTTTAAGTTTTGTCCAATTGTAATATATATTTTTTAAAAAGAAAAAATTATATTCAACCATTACAAAGTGTACAACACCATGCAATTAAAGGAAATTACTAGTTGAAAAAGATAGAACCAAAACAAAACATCATGGTTAACTTGATAGCAACAAAGTAAGAGCCATCTGCCTATACGAAAGAATATCACGAGTCATCATTTAATTAATCTTACTTGAAGCTTGACAAATCTGGGGTTGTAACGATATATTTTCTTTATATTTCCACCCCTCCTGAAGTAGATAATTTTAAATCTTTTGTAAAACAGTTCTTTTGTACTTGAAATACTGACATTAGAGTCAACAAATTGAAAATTTTGATCACCAAATCCCCAACAACATTATCATCATTAGGAGCTAATAACTTTGGTGATTGGTAATCTTGTATGCAATTTCACTGTAAATCACCTCCATTGGGCTAACAATGGGAGTGATTGGTAATTCTCTGCATACAAGATAGAACATGAAGTTGGTTCAAAATTTTGTGCACATGGGAGTGAATATAATAACATATGATAAGCCTAGCATTGCCTAACATGTGAGTGAAGATAACAACATAACTGTTAAACAATATTATCTTAGCATGAACCATAAAATAATAAAATAAACCAAATGATAGCCCTCCATCATCATGGGTTTGATGTCCCAATTTAATGATCACAATCAAATGGTGATCAAAAGGTCAAAAAAATAATATTGTAGCATTGACCCCTACACATCAAAGCGCGCGCAAAGGGAGAAAAACCGGCGAATCCAACAACGTGTGTGTCGACGTGACTCGCCAGTTGAAGGGTCAAATGACCTCCGATTGACAAATGGACTGTTCTGTTGCAACCGGGACATCGAGTTTGCCTACATGGAGACCCCTCGCAGCCAAATGGGTCGAGTTCAGACCAAAGGGACGACTAACACCCGAAATTAATGCACGATATTACCCAAACGACATCTGATCACAAAACAGATTTCTCTATTGCGTCTGGAACATCGTCGACAATAAAAAATCACTATTAATTTATTGAATTGTGATTGCACAAAGAGACTGCACGAATCCTGCGGCAATGACGCACAATCAAATAAATTGGTGCTCGATAAAATGGATTTCATCATTGCGTTTGGAATGTCGTTAATATCCAAAAATGATAGTCAATTTGATCAATTAAAGCCACATGAGAAGATCAACACGCATCTCGAGGAAACACGCACAAATCAAGCAAACTAGCATGCGATGTTGCTTAAACGATATCCGATCGCAAAACTGATTTTGTCGCTACATTCAGATCATCATCAATACTCAAAATCACAATCAATTTGGTCAATGAAAGGCACGCGAGGAA